ATGGCATTGCTGTAGTATAAGAATTAAGGAAGGGCTGTGATCCTAGGAGAGCTTAGAAAACTTGGCAAAGAAATTCAGCTTTGACACAGTACACTGTTGATAATCCTGACATTATAATAATCCCCTACATTTATATAGGGCTTGGTGGTTACAAATGCTTTGAGTATATTATTTCATTTGATCCTGTCACCAATTCTGTGAGGAGTAACTCGATTAAAAGTATTTTGGAGGATTAATCTGGCAACAGTATGTAAGATGGATTGGGGGCAGGAAGGAAGGAAGAAGCAAGGGGAAAAGACCAGAAGCAGGAAAGCTAGTTAGAAAGCCATTACAGTAATAGGAATTGAAATGATGAAACTGCCAGGTGACACAGTGGCTAAGAGTGTTGGGCCTGGAGTCAGGAAGACCTGAGTTCAGATCTGACCTCAGATGCTTACTATCTGTGTAACCCTGGGTAAATCACTTAATCTCTGTCTGCCTCAGTTTCCTCAACTGTAAAATGAGGATAATAATAGTATCTATTCTCTAGGATTGTTATAAAGATCAAATGAAATAATATTTGCAAAACCCACAGTGCCTGGCACATAACAGGCACTTAATAAAAAGTTGTTTTCTTCCTTCCCTCCTCCTTTTCTTTTTTCCTCCCTTGGACACGGGTGTTAGCATTGGGAATGAAGAGGAAGGAACAAACCTATTCTCAAAGGAAAAATGGACAAGATGTAGTGAATGATTGGATATGAGAAGTAAACTAGAAGAAAGCCCCCAAAATTACTCAAAAGTTTCAAGCTTGAGAGACTGGAAGAACAGTGATTCTTTGGATAAGGACAGGCAAATCAGAAAAGAGAACCAGTTTAATAGGGTGACAGAAGATGACAAATTTGGATTTGAGAAGACAATGATAGGCAATAGAAAGAAAACTAGAATCAACCACAGAAGATGTAGATTCTAGTCCTGACTCAGCGATTTATTAGGTGTATAACCTTAGACAAGTCTCTGGGCCTCCGTTTCTTCGATTGTACAATAAGGATATGAGATCACTGGCCTCAAACTTAAATTGCAAGTTTAAGTTTACAACACTCATCTTTTTGCACTAGCACTATTCTCTTCTCAAAAACTTAATAGAATAGAATTTTTTTAGGCATAGGACTGCATAATATTCATCAGGTCCTTGCAATCCCAAGACTATAGGATTCTTAAGGTTTCTCCCAAGTCTGACATTCACCTGAAGAGTTTCATGATGTCATTCATGAGGGTACCCCCCCCACACAATGGTACAGATTACAACATACACACACCTCCTCATGCTGTGATTCTTGCCCATGCACTTCCAGCATATATCCTTCACAGGGGTCCACCCAACATCATCAGGGGCCTTTCCCCTGACAGGACAATTAGATAGTAAGATCGTATATAACAAGTTCCTAATTATGGAGGCTCAGACAAAAGGGGAGTCAATACTTAATGGAACAAGAGCTGAGAAGAAACGGGGATGGGATAAGAGATGCAGGAAATTGTGCTGTGACACAGAAGCCAAGCTCTACAAGGTAAGTAAGCTGTTCTATAGGATTATATAGAAGTACAACAGGTCAGCCAACCTGTCCTGATGTGGGCCTGATGGTCCAGGTCTTAATGGATGGCCACCACACAATGGGTGTTTTCAGCCATGGGAGCTCATGACAAGTATCTATTAGTGCATGGAGAAGTTGCAAATTGTGTTAATGAAGGGAGTGCCCACAATGAAGAAATCATGAGCTTTTTGAAATAAATACTATCCTCCGCTAAAGGAGGATCAATCGATCAACAAGCATTTATCAAGTGCTTACCAGGCATTGTGTTAAAGCTGATAATACAAAGAAGGACAAAAAGAGTCATTGCCCTCAAAGAACTTAGATTTTAATGAAGAGAACAGAATTCTGAGCTCTGTGCCTGTGAAACACAGGTTGTATAACTACAACTACATTAGTTGGGAAGTTAGGTGGCGCAGTGAATACAACACCGGGCCTGTAGTCAGGAAAACTCATCTTCTGAGTTCAAATCTGGCCTCAGACACTTACTAGGTGTGTGACCCTGGACAAGTCACTTAACTCTGTTTGCCTCGGTTTCCTCATCTGTAAAATGAGCTGGAGAAGGGAAATGGCAAACCATTCCAGTATCTTCACCAACAAAACCCCAAATGAGATCATGAAAAGTGGGATACGACTACAGACATACCCAGAACAAACAGCAGAAAATGGGACAATGTCAGAAAAGAGACCCTGGAGGTTAATGCATGTGTATGTGTGTGTGTGAGTTCTAAAAATGTTTCAAAGCACTTCTGAGAGCATAATTCAACATATGTAATAATACCTAGCATACTATAGTAGTAGACACCATCTTTACCTAATCAAAAGTTTTCAGTTCCATTCAGAATGGAATATTTTTGCATGGGAACAGTTTTTCATTTTATAGTATTAGCAAATAGCATGACGAAGAGGATTGAAAGTTGGATTTGGAGTCAGGAAGTAAACAAGCATTTATTAAGTGCCTGACATGCCAGGTACTGTGTCAAGAGTGAATGATACAAAGAAAAGCCAAAACAAAACAAAAAGACAACCTGGGTTTAAGTCTTGCCTCTGAAATAAGAGTTGTGTGACCCTGGGTAAAATCACTAACTTCTCAGACAACTCTCTAAGACTGTAAGTTGTGAAACAGATGCCAATCTGCATTGATAGCTACAGTCTCAGGGGGCTCCCAAGGCCATTGAAATCACAAGTCAACACCAAGAAAGAAAAAAAAAAGGGTAGTCCATGATAAAGGAAGATTCACATCTAAAGAAATTCCTTTTATAGCTATTTACTGGGGACATAATCATGAGATTCTCGGTCTTTAATCAATTACATTTATGTAAGCATTACCACTGACAAAGTGTTTTATAAAGCAACAGAGGCTTGGCCTAGGGGCTGTTATTGGCCAGACTGTAAGCCCCTTGAAAGCACAGACTACAGTGTTTTCAGCCATCTTGACTTTTGTCTTTGCTCCTCAGACTCCTATGACTCCGGAGAAGAAAGTGAGGCTGATGACTTTGCCAAGCTCTGCCTCACTTAAATCCAATTCACACATGTCAAGATATCATCCTTGTGATGCCATTGGTCCTCTTGATAAGGACAAACAACAGTGACACCTTTTCAAAGACTAACTCATGGGATTTTAACAATAATCTTGTCAGGTAACTAGTACAAGAATGACCAACCTCATTTTACAGATCAAGAAGCTGAGACTCAGAGAACTTGTGTGGCATCATAGGAAACTAGCAGAGCCAAGATTAAAACCCAGCATTTCTGGCACCAAAGTCAGTACAATATTGATTGACAGAATGAGGACAGAGTCAGGGACTAGACCTGTGCTTTCACTGGTGTACAGCAGGGGCCAGGTTGGCAAACTGCAGCTCATAGGCCAAATCTCATGAGCTAAGAATTCTTTTCTATTTTTAAAAACAATAAAACTTTATTTTAAAATGTAAACACCAGGGGCCAGGTGGGCAAACTACAGCCCATGGGCCAAATCTCATGAGCTAAAAGTTGTTTTATATTTTTTTACAACAAAACTTTATTTTAAAAATGTAAACACCACTCAACTCAAAACTGATGGCAACAAGATTTGGCCAAAGGCCATAGTTTGCTGTCCCATGGTATAGAGAACTTCTAAGTGAAGAAACTCCCTCCACTTATGCAAGTCAGCACCTTCTCTGTAACAGAGTTGTCTAAAGCAGAGATGTCAAATAAATAGTCCACAACTCTCCCAAGAACATCCAGAACCAGATTAAAATGTAATTGGGAAATAGCTTAAAAATGGATAAAAATACCATGAAACATACACAGTATTCTAACTCAATATGCAGGCTGCAGAGATCCTCATGTATAGTTTGTTGGTCCCCCTTCTATTCAAGTTTGACCATTGGTTTAGAGCACTGAGAGGTTAAGTGATCTGCCTAGGGTCACACAGCCAAGATGTACTATTTTCAGGTATTGTTGTTGTTCAGTCATGTCTGATTCTTCAGGATCCCATTTGGGGATTTCCTGGCAAATGGGTTACCATTTCCTTCTCCAGTAGATTAAGGGAAACAGAGGTTAAGTGATTTGACCAGCATCTACAACTAGTGAGTATCTGAGGATGGATTTGAACTCAGGTCTTCTCGACTCCATGCCTGGTGCTGTCTTCCCTATGCCCAAAAGTCAAGACAACATGTGATGTCATTGGTCCTCTTCAAAAATGAAAGCCAAACAACAATTCCTTACAAGGCAGTAAACTGGAGAAAAAGTAGGAGAAAAGTAAACTGGTGAAAAATGTCAGATCATTTTATTTTCCTTTTTAGCAAAGATGGTTAAAACAAAACTGAATAAACTCTCATTTTTAATTTCCAGGTGAGCTATTAACTCTCCATCAGTACACATATAATCAGTATCCAAGATATTAATGGAAACTCTGAAAGTCACAGGAACCTTTTCTCCATGACAACAGCTGGGGTGACTAATCAGGCATTTCCTGCTTTTACAAAGATAGAGATATTTACTGAAATATAATGTAGTCAGAGGAACACAATGGAAATGAATGAGTTTGCCTAAATCAACAGCAGTACCAAGTTACTGATATAAGTGCATGTGTTTAGGCAGGCCCAAACACAGCCTGCTGATTATTGGATGGGAAGACCTGAAAGGAAATAAACATTTATTAAGCATCTACTTTGTTCCAGGCACCACAGTGCCAAATCACTTTACAAATATTATCTCATTTGATCTATACAACAACCCCGAGCAGCAGGTGCCATTATTATTCCCATTTTACAGTTAAGACATTATGACAGAGAGCAAATCTCCCCTTGGTATAGCCCTGTGTAAATATGTGGGTATACAAAGCCTAGAAAAGGGAAATGGTGGGGAGAGGACCAAACGGGATGCGATAGGTTTTTTTTAAATTAATAAAAGCCAAAGCAAAACCAAGGAGAGATAAAATATAGTAAGTACCTTCAATGCTCTGTGGACCCACGAGATTCATAGCTTGATGAGCCGGATATTCTACACGGGGCCTGGCAATGCCCAGCTGTTCCATCACCCCATGGAGCAACCTCTGAATATCTGCTTCTGAGACTCGGTCTGGGGTCCGAGGACTATGAGCGGATGACTGAGTCCATCCTAATGCCAGCCAAAACACCACATTGTATAAGACAGCAGGCAGCATCATGGAGTCTATTCTCACCTGCAAAAAGAAGAGAGACCAACTATCAACTGGCCATAAGGGGAAAAGGGACTGTGTGGTTTTCAAAAGAGGGGGAAAGCAGGCGATTGAAACTTTAGGTTACTGAGCCTGACCTCAAATCCTGGTAAAATTCTAGGTCTGTGAGAGTTTAGAAAGGGAAGAGGTGATCACTATGATCCAGTGTGGGTGTATTAAGAACAAGTCAAGTCAAATGAACCTTATTTCTTTTTGTTCTCAAGGATATGAACACAGCATATCTTGATAAACAACAAAAAAAAATAATATTCTTTTGGGCAAGATGTAGAAATGTGGACTGGATGACAGTGTAGTGAGTTGGATTTGGAACTGGTTGACTAACCAGACCCTAAGTGTGGTGGTGAATGGAGTGATCGATGTCCCATTGAAGGGAAGAGGGCTATGATGGAATGAAGCTAGACCCTGTCTTTGGTCCTAATCTAGTCAAAATTTTTTCCAGTGACTTAATGGAAGACATAGGTGGCAAGCTTTTAAATTTTCAGATAGCACATAGCTAGGAGGAGCAGCTAATATACTGAAGGACAGAACAGTGATCCAAATGGGTATTGATAAGCTGAAGCTAACAAGGTGAAACATAATCGTAAGAGGGACACAGACCAGATCTGTGGTTTCATTGGGACAGGGAACTCCTCGATGAGGATAGTCCCTCTAACAATGCAAGTCAATCATCTGCAATATATAGTTTCAGAGTTGCCCAGAACATTGAGAGATTTAAGTGACTTTCCCAGGATCACACAGCCAATACGTACCAGAGGCTGGACTTCAACTCAGGTCTTCTGTAGTTAAAGCCTGACTTCTACCATGGTGCCTCTCTATAATATAATCATAGATTAATAAATACTGTAAATGTGGCAGAATATATTAAAGATAAAAATCTGCCATTTGGTTTTAAAAAACCAACTATCAAGTGCAGGGCAGGAGGGATATCGCTACACAGCAATTAAAGTGAAAAAGATCTGGTGAATTGCACGGACCAAAAACTCCATACGAGTCAAAAGTGTGATGTGGCAACAGCAAAATCAAAATCAAATGCAATTTTGGTCTTTATTAATATTCAAAGCCAAGGAGGTAGTGGGTAACCCTGCCATACTCTGGCTGGGTCAGACAACATATGGAGCATTGCATCCTAAGAAGGAGCTGACCACAGAAGTGAGAAGGCTTGAAACCATGCCATATATTAATTAAAGGAATCAGAATGTTAAACCTAGAGAAGATTGAGGAGACACAGGATGGCTACCCTTAAATTTCTGAAAGATTCAAAGGGTCATAATTTGGAACTTGAAAGAACCCAAGAAGTCATGCAGTCCAACCCCATCATTTTACAGATGAGGAAACTGAGGCCCAGAGAAGCAAAGTTACTCGCCCCAGAGGAGGTCAGCAGCATGGCTGGGAATTTTAACTCAGGTCCTCTGACTTTTAATCCAGTATACTTTCTACTACACTACACTGAGTGGGTATGTGGAAGAACTATTAGACTTCTTCTGCTTGGTCCTGGACAACCGAACATGGAACTACGAAGAGAAATTACAAGGAAGCAGATTTCGCTTTAATATAAGGGAAAAACTTCCTAACAATTAGACTTGTTCAAAAATGGGATGGACTACTTAGGGAAAGGGATATAGGGAATTTACCACAGGTGAACACAGGTCACTAGAGGTCAAGGATGCTGTATCTCTATACACGTTCAGATACAGGCTAGACTAAAGGACCTTTAAGACACCTTCAAAACCCCAAATTCTGTGATTCTAAGGTATATTCATGGTGCCACATCTATGACCGAACTGCAAGGTTCCAGGACAACTTGAATATGATCAGGAAAGTTGAAAACTTACTAGAGGGTTGGTACTTTGACTCCACCCAGTCACTTTTAGTGGGTGTGCAAAGTATGGCATAAGCTTAGGTGTTGCATGAAAATAAACACACACACACACACACATACACATTATGTGAAATATCTTCACCTAACACAATGCTCTGTACCCAGGAGGATCAATACACTAATTCATAATAAGGCTAGGTTAGGGGAGCATTCCCAAGCTTTTTGCCCTTTTCACAATCCCCTCTGAAGTCACAGAATTACAGTTAGAGAGTTAAAGGGACCTCACCAACCATCTAGTCCAACCCATACATGAAAAGAATATGCACTTTAACATACCCACCAAGTGGTCCTTTAGCCTCTGCCTGAAGAGCTCCCATGGGGGGAAAGCCACTAGCTTTGAAAGTCATTCCATTTTTAGACAGCTTTGTTAGGTATGGGGCAGCTAGGTGGCTCACTGGATAGAGTCAGGAAGCCTCATCATCTCAAGTTCAAATCTGGCCTCAGACACTTACTAGCTATATGACCCTGCGCAAGTCACTTAACCCTGTTTGCCTCAGTTTTCTCACCTGTAAAATGAGTTGGAGAGGAAATGGCAAACCAGTATCTTTGCCAAGAATATCCCAAATGGGGTCACAAAGAGTTGGGATGTGACTGAAATGACTGCACCATAACAACAAAAATTGGTAGATAATTTTTCTTAACATCAAGTCTAAACTGGTTTCTTTGCAACCTCCATCTAACATTCCTATTTCTGCCCTCTGGGGCCCAAAAGAATAAGTCTAATCTCTACACCACATGACATCCCTTCAAATACTTGTAGACAGTCATCATGTTGCTCCTGAATCTTCTCTTCTCCAGGCTGAACGTGCCTAGTGCCTTCAACCAATCTTCATGGGTGCATATCACCCTACTACATAACCAATCAAAAGAAAATGAGGTGGTTTCCTTACTAATGGGAGGGGTATAGTAGTAATATCATTTCCCCTCTTCTCTTCTTCTACCCAACCCTATCCTCTGAATAGCAAAGACTAACAAGGATGAATTGTTAAGGACCAAATCATAATAGTAAGAGAAAGAAAAGTGGCTGGGGGAAAAGTGAGATAGAGAATGGAAAGTAGTTGTATTGTATGAGATGCTGCTGATACCATCATTCATTCACTCAACAAATATTAAATAAGGACTTACAAAGTGCAGTCATTATACTAAATGCCCACTGGGAGGGAGGTATTAACACTTTCTATTTGCTTTGAAGTAGCTCTAATAAGGGCAAATGCAAGAGTATACAAGTAACTACAGTACAAGAAATATAAGGGCCATATGAGTAGTATGAAATGTTATTCAGAAAATTCAAGGGACAGCTAGGTGGCATAGTGTATACAGCACTGGCCCTGGATTCAGGAGGACCTGGGTTCAAATCCGATCTCAGACACATAACACTTATGTGTGACCCTGGGTAAATCACTTAACCCCATTGCCTAACCAAAAAAAAAAAAAAAAAAGAAAAGAAAAAAAAAAGAAAATTCAGAAAAAGGAGAGTGAATTCAATTCAATTTTTTGAATATGTATTGGGTATCTTTTAGGCTAGCTAGGATGATTACAGTGCAGAGAGGTAGTGTTGTCAACTAAAGAACACTGATCTAGGAAACCTAAATTTAAATACAGGCACTGCCACTGTGGGACCTTGCACAAGTGACTTAACTTCTCTGGGTCTAAGATAGCTCACCTATAAAATGAGAGGCTTAGCTCCTCTTAGATGATTTCTAAAACTCTTTACACCTTTCAGATTCTGTGAGTCTTCTTCATGATGGAGGATATACACTTAAGCTGGGCACCAAATGAAAGATGAGACAGTATGATTTTAACAGGCAAAGATGAGTGGGCATCAGGATGGTGTTATTCCAGGCAGAAAAAGGTAGGAAATAACATCCGAAATATAGATAATGTTTTAAAATTTACAAAGCTGGAAGTCCTGAGTTCGAAAACTCAGAAACTTAATAACTGTGTGACCCTGGACAAATCCCTTAACCTTTCTCAGACTCAGCTCCTGAAGTAACTGAAGTTAAATGGTGTTAAGGGACTTAACAAAGTTTGAACAACTATTAGTGGATAAGCTAGGACTCTAGGTCTTCTGTGCCAGGGAGATGCTGGTAAATGTTTAATTATTGCTGGGATTTAGGAAAAGAGAGAGAGGAAAGTACACACAATACATTTTAAAATTTAATCCACATTATTAAAATTTTCTCCATCCCTTTCTCAAATCTTGACAATGAACAAAACAATAAAGGAAGCCCTGATTTGTAATGTTAGCTAATTTCCAAGGTGTAAATGCTCACATTGAAAATTTAATAACTGGCTCCCTCAGATTCTTAGTAGCTCAAGCACACCTCTCTGACTGTCTCCCAATCTACCACACTAGAGCTATCTCTCTGTAAAATCAACTAGCCCAGTGCCTTGGACGCTTTTTTCTCCATAAACTAGAGCTTCTACCTTATTGAGACAAAAAGGGGATATGACAGTCAGCAGAAAAAGTGATCTCTAAGCATCATCACTTCTCAGGATTTTGAGGAGCTGAGGAAGAGCTGAAGTGAACAAATGAAATTGTTTGATCTCTATTTCTCCCATACCTAACACTTCATAACAAAGAAACAAACAGAAATTGTTGGTCTCAGCCTATGATTTCATTGTTTAGATAATTTTTTGTGAGAAAATTCCTTCTGCCAATTAAGTTTCATCCAGGGTGTTACAGAGCCAGCATGTGTCAGAGGTTTTATTTGAACCCAAATCTTCTGGGCACAGACCAGCTTTTTATCCATTACAGCAGGCTCTCACAAATTACATAGTATTTTTAACTTTTCAAAGCATTTCCACCTATCTCAGCTCCTTTAATGGAGGAGGAAGAGGCAGAGAAATCAGAATAGATTAAGATCTTGTAAAGGCCCTTGGAGATGATCTAGTCCAATCTCTTCATTTTATGAGAGAAAATGGACGCCCAGAAAAGCTAAGAGATTTTCCTAAGGTCCCAAAGGTAGTATCAGTCAGGATTTGAACTCAGATTCCATTTCTCCCAGTTCAGCAACTGTTTCCACTATACCTTAGTACCACAAGTTTTATACTTTCCAAAATTGTAGGGAATGGGAGGATGGGGGGTGGGATTGGTTTGTTAAGATTAGGAACAGATGATGCTGTTAAAGGGAAAAAAAATAAGCTCCTCCAGGCAGTATGTACTAAATCTTGGCTTCTCTTTCTACTCCACCACTGTTTTTCCCTGTCCAAATCATTAACCTTGCTAGAATTAATCTCCACCTCCAACCAGTCAGTATCTCAGTTCCCTCTCACTTTTCCCTTTCGCCCTATTTTTCTCCTTCTACTTAGAGAATAACTTCTGGACAAAATTAGACAACAAAGCGTTTTTTTAAGTTTTTCTTCCTCCTTCCCCATCCCCCCCCCACCCAATAAAACGCTTTCATATAAAGTGGTTTGATTTAGTTCATGGAAAAAAAAAAAAACTTCACTTTATTCTTGATCCACCCTAAGAAAGCAGTGAAGACGGGCAGCAATGTGCCAGGGTAGAATCTGCAATTCCTGCCAAAAATGCAGGTGGCAGCCAAGTCTCTCTCCATCTATCTCCATCACTCCCGCGGATGGCGAAGGCGGGGTGTGTGTCTATCTCACCACCACACAATACAATTCTGTACAGATCAGATCTCCGCCCGCTCCCCCTCCGCCCCACCCCAGTCCCCAACCCCTTATCTCTTTCCTCCATCACTACCTCTTTCCCCAAGCTGATTCCCCCAATTTAGCTCTCACAAAATTAAACTCTCATCCCCTCCTCCTACATCCCAAACCAAATATCCGGGCCTCAGTTCCAGTCCTCCTGCATCCCCATCTCTAAGAGAAGCGCTCGCTTACGGGTATATGCAAGGTAGAACCGAAGTGGGCGAGGGGTGAAGGGGGGGAGGGGAATACATGCCTCACTTCCTCAGGGCTACTCACCCGTGCAGCTAAGAGGGGTACTCCTGCGAGGGTCTGCCCAGCTCTCTGGGCCTGGCTTAAAGAATCACTAGTGCGTCACCCCCTTCGCTCCGCCTTCCGCCCCTCCCCTGGGCAGGTGGCTCCACAGCAGCCTAGTTCCAGCAGCCTCTCCCCTCCAAGCCTCTCTCCCAGGCGCTCCACCTCCCACCCCATGGCGCCTGGACCAAGGTACCCACGGATGGATACGGTGTGCGCCTGCTTCTTCACGTTCACCTTTCTCAAGGCTCCCGCAAGGACAAGGCCACTACTTAAAACTCTGCTCCCGTGGTTCTTTGAAATCCTTTTAAGTGTGTATGCACTTGTAAAGGGCGACTTGTGTTATCTTTTAACCCCAGCTAGATTAATAATATTAACATTTATATAGCGCTTTAAGGTTTGCAAAGCGCTTTACATTTGTCTCATTTTACCCTCATGACAACCTTGTGAGCCTATTTTACAAGCAAGGAAACGGGCTGGGAGACCTCAATAGACTTGTGTAGGGTCACTCCTCAGTCAATAAGTACTTATTAAGCACCTATTACGTGCCAGCCTGAGGATACAAAAAAAGGCCAAAAGTCCCTGCTCTCTTGTAGCTCACACTCTAATGGGGGAGATATGAAAACAACTATGTTCATATGTTTATATATACACACACAAGATAAATTAGAGATAATCAATAGAGGGAAGGCATCATTTTTTAGTTATTACAATGAGCCTCAGTTAGACATCATACTTTGGGTCACACAGCTACTGTGAGGCAGAATTCAAATTTAGGCCTTCCTGATTTCAAGTCAAACATTCCATCGCTGCACCACGTAGCTACCCTAAACTGAGAGTAAGCTGCTTCTGCAGCAGGGACTATATTTTATTCTAGCATGGTATACTCAACCTAGGTTTTTAATTAACATTTGTTGAACAACAACAAAAAAATACAAATTTCTTCCATGCTGGAATAAAGAATATGCTAATATGTATCTCTCCCTCCCCAATCATGTCATCCTAGAAAGGATTTTAATTACAAATTCCATTTTATTTTAAATTGAAGGAGGATAACAGGGCATACAGATATAGCTGTGTAGACAGGAGAGAACAGGTTGAAATAGTGTCAGGAAATTTGTAAAGATTTTGGCAATAGGAACAAATAATGAAACAACTTTAGAATAAAGGAATCCAAACCCATTTTTGTTAGTGGTGATGGTGGGAGTTAGTGGGAGTGCAGAATGATCAGTATGATGACAGAGCAGGAGGAACTGTCTGGGAAAATAAGGTAGATATACATTTGAAAATCACTATTTCAAAGGACAGAAAGGAACCATGGTGTCTAAGTTAAAGAATCAGCTTCCAACCTGGAGGTTTTAACCCTGGGTTAGGTTAGTCTTTTAATTTCTCAGTGCCCCAGGCAACTCTAAAACAATCTAGTGGCAGAACACCTGCCAATTTGCATTGATAGGAGTTCCCTTCACTGATGAAATTCACAGATTAAGACCAAAAATAAAAGTTCAAAGGAATGCAAGACCTAGAAAGAGACAGCATGGGGCAGTGGACTTGAATCTGTAGTCCTACACATAAAAGCTATGATCCAGCTACAGGGAAATATAGTGAATAGAGAGCTAGCTTTGAAATTGGTAAGATTTGAATTCAAGTCTCACCTTTGGCACATACTAGCTGTGTGTCCCAGGGCAAGTCACAAACTCTCAGTGGTACAGAACTATCTGTAACTATAAACTGAAAAGAAGGTGCTGACTCCATTTACTGATGGAGCTTCCTCATCTGGAAAATCCGTATGTCAAAGAAATTACAGGTCCAGTCTCCATCCCTAAGGCACGTCTAACCATGTTACTCCTCTACTCAAAAAGTCTTCAGCAACTTTCTATTACCCCACTAGGAAAAAAAATCTAAACAACTATTTGACATTTAAAAATACCTTTCACAATCTGGTTCCAGCCTGTTATTCCCCCTCGATCACTCTACCAAACTAGTCTTCTCAATTTTCCCCCTACAAAACATTTTATATTCAATCTCTGACACATTTTTTATAGTTTCAGACAATTTTCCAGGACATTCTTATTTTAATATCTATGCTAAATAAATAACATTTAAACACAATCATTACAAGCCTTCATCTTAAGTTGAATGTACATTGATGTTTCAATTATATCAAAATCCAAATTATTTGTATACAGGAATCACCAAAGATCAAAGTTACCTCAAGTTTTACTCTTCCTCCTTAAATACTTTTAATTACAAATAGGACAAGACAACAGGTACAAACATATTTGTGCAAATTAACTTTAAACATACAGTATGGCTTAAAAGTCATCAGTTGTTTCTGCATCATAATCATAGTACACTGATTGGCCTGACTGAGACACCACAATATAACTCGGACTGACTCAAACACATTATAAAAATCCATGCAAATGCACAGCAGAACACACTTGTTCTAAGTATATGTGATGTTGAAACATTTTTTAAAGAACAAAAGAGAAGTTTCAAAAATGTTATATCAATAGTAAAGGTATCAAATGAAACTTTCCACAAAGATTCTGAATATTAACAATATAATTAAAGAAATAAGACAAAAATAGTTAATTAATTTATTTTCTTGACATATCTAGCCTTTTTCTTTGCTGAAATTTTATCTAACTTAGGAATTCAAAGAGGCAATAGCCTAGTCTTCCTTTCATTTCCAAAGCCATTTATTAAAAAAAAAAATTACGTCTTAAGAACAACTCATAAATCCAGTCAGAAAAACGTTTTTAAAGTTAAATCAGGGCAGTGAAATTTGTACAAACATAAAAACCCAAGACATTTGTCACTGAGATTTTAAAACATTAAAAAAAAACCAATAAAACAATCAGTCTGAGCTACAAACTGGCATGGATATATGCTACAGTTCAAGCACCAGAATCTTAATCCTATATACATTACTAAATCAAGAAAAAAATGTTCTGTAATTACAGTTCCAGAGGTTTAGTTGTTGGCAGTAGCTGAACCTTTGCTATTGGATTCTTTGGAGAACCTTTATACCAAACCCTTTCTCTTCCTGGTGGTTTTCTGACAACACTCTTCTCTTGAGTACCAACAGAAAAAGCTGCACTTGTATTTACAACAGATTTTAATGACTCATGATTAGTTAGGTCATCCAAAACTGACTTGATTTGGCTACCAAGTATCACCTTCTGTTTGCAAACTCTTGTAGGTCTCAGAGAAGTACCCCATGAGTCTGGGTGTCTCTTCACCTTTGGGCAAGGTTTAGAAGATGACTCTATGCTGGATTTGGAAGTTAGCTCTGCGCTTGACTGGTCACATGGCACAAACTTTTGTTTTTGCTTATGCTCTGAATAAAAAAGAGCAGCAGAGGAATTGTTTGATGTGCTTTCTATATGAGAAGAAAGATCACTATCACAGCTAATGGATTTAACTAATGGGGAAGGCACCTCTCTCAAACTGGCCAACCTCCCCGACTGTCTATTCATTTCTATTAAGGAATTTATCCTTCTGACAGACTGACGAACAGGAGTACGCTGAAATTTCAGAGGTGACTTAACTTTGCTTTCAGTTCTTGAATCATTTAATGAAAGTTTATTAAACCAATGTATGTGATCTGAAACCCTTCCATGATCTGTCGTCTGAAAATCCCCTGGAAGAGTTTTATCGCAAGTTTGTACCAAAGACTGCTGTTGAACAGTTCTTATGTTCCTAGGTAATTTTGATATATGACATGTAATCTGTCCTGAAGATTTGGTGACAACTTCCTCAGAATTAGAGCAACTCAGTTCATTTTCTTCAATATTAATTTTAGTCTCTTCCACTGTCATGATTTCTTTGTCTCTAGGGAGTTCTTGTTTATTTGTTTGGTCATTCCTAGGAAATTCTTGCTTATTTAAATAGTCCTTGGGCATATTTAAATGAAGACTCTCATCCGATTTAGTTGTTTTCTGAATTGTATGAGATTCCATAGTGGTATCTGTTACCAAATTTTGAATTTGATTTACTAAGAAGTTTTGCTCTGGAACAATGGAATCCTTTTTATTAGTATGGTTTTCATCATGCTTTTCCATAGACAGCATTGTCATTTCATGATAGTCTTTAGCTTCAGATAGATTCTTCTCTGGACTAAATTCTACATTAGGTACTTCATTTAATTTTTCTTTTCTTGAATAAGATTCTGAGGGAGGATTGTCACTTATCAAAGCATTAAGATTACTTCCAGATTCAGAAAATGCTTTCTGAATTTTCACTAAAGTTTCTGTGGTTAAATTATTTTCATCTCCACTAAGAGAGCTCCCA